TTTTGCGTACCGTGTGAGGTAAGGGTCTAAATGTATCCTCTTGCCTGTGGATATGCAGTTGTTACAGCACAGTTTATTTAAAAACCTGTCGTTACCCACTGAACTGCTTTGGCAACCCTGATCTTATATCAGTACCACACTATTTTGCTTCTATAGCTTTATAGTATATTTTGAAATTTAGGAAGTGTTTAAGTCCTCTAACTTTGTTCTTTGGCAAGATTATTTTGTCTATTCTGGGTTTTTTGCATTCCATATAAATTTTAGGATTAGAAGTGACGTCAACAAAATGGCAGAATACACAGCTCCAAACAGCCATCCCTCCACAGAAACACAGAAAACCAACCAGGAACTGTCACCACCAACTTTTTCAGAACACTGGAAAACAGGTTTACAGCAAGTAAACAAATGCTGAATCAAGAAAAAGGCAAATTAAGAACAGTAGGAAAGCTTTGCAGTGTTTTTGCTCGCCCTTGCCCCATCCCCTCCCCAGCTCAGTGGCAGTCTTGAAGACAGCAACCTGTGTTCCCAGTGTGGGGCTCTGGTCCTTAGTTCTGGAGAGAGGGAGCAAAGCAGACCTTATCTGCAAATTATTATGTGTTACTGTTTACACCTGTCTATGGCTACCTGAAAGGCTGACACAGGCGCTCATCTCTGTTTTACCTAACTTGGAACTCAACTAGGGTGGAAAGTAGTGGGCATTGCTCGAAGACATTGTAAAGCAAACAAAGACCCACAGCCACCTAGGACAAATGATTACAGCTGAGTCACACAGTAGACAGTCTGAAACCAGGCAGGAAGTACAGGGGACAGTTTATTTAAGAAATTAGTTCATCCAAAAGTGCCCATGTATACTGGGAAATATAGAAAGCCACATGCATGCCCAGGGCAGGAGACATGCTCAGAAAAGACCTGTGAAGACCCTAAGATTTCACCTTTGACTCATCTATAGGTTCAGTATAAGAAGGAAGGCTAAGGCAGAGTTTAAATGGGCCAGCTAAGTGTTGAATAAATGCCCCAGCACAGAGCCAATCTGTCAAGCCTAGGTTGTGTGTGTGTTTTAGCTCCTAGCGTTCAAGGAAATCTTTGTCAAAACAATAGCTGAACACAAGCTAAAGGAACAAAGACTTCAGTGACCAACATGACAAGGAATAAAGTCTTTGCAAAAATGGTTTGGAAAGATGACTAAAGAAACAGATTACTCAAGCCTTCAACAATCAAGAACAGCCAACTCTGGGGAAGAGAGAAAATCTGATTTCCTGAGTTATCACATTTTAATATTCAAATGTCCATTTTTCAACAAAAAAATCACTAAGAAATAGGAAAGTATGACCCATTCATAGGAAAAAAATTGAAACCGTCACTGAGAAAGCCCAGACACTGGACTTACTAGGCAAAGACTTTAAATCAACTGTCTTAAATTTGCTCAAAGAGCTAAAAAATAAATAAATAAATAAAACACACAAAAAAACCATGGACAAAGAACAAAAGGAAACCAGGAAAATGATGTATGAACAAAATGAGAATATCAATAAAGAGAAATTATAAAAAGGAACCAAATAGAAATTCTGAAAAATACAATAATTAAAATGAAAAATTTATGGGAGGGGTTCAACAGCTTAGAGCAGGCAGAAGAAAGACTCAGTGAACTTGAAGATAGGACAATTTAAATTATCCAGTCTGAGGAGCAGAAAGAAAAAAGAATGAAGAAAAGTGAACACAGCCTAAGGGACCTGTGGGACACCACCAAACGGGCCCACATATGCATTATGGAAGTCCCAGAAGGAAAAGAGAGACAGAAAGAGACAAAAGGAATATATGAAGAAATAATGGTCAAAAACTTCCAAATTTTGATGAAAAACATGAATCTACAAATCCAAAGAGCTCAACATACACCAAGTAGGATAAATTCAAAAGAGATCCACACTGAGACATGTAATCAAACTGTTGAAAGGCAAAAATAGAGAATCTTGAAAGTGGTAAGAGAGAAGTGACTCATCACTACAAGGGATCCTCAGTAAGATTAATAACAGATTTCTCATCAGAAACCATGGAGGCCAGAAGTCAGTGGGATATTTACTTAAATTGCTGAAGAAACAAAAACAAACCAAAAAACCCCACTACCAACCAAGAATTCTATACACAGCAAAACTATCCTTCAAAAACAGAGACGTTAAGACATTCCTAGAATAACAAAGGCAGAGAGAGTTTGTTACCCATAGGACTTCCCTTCAAGAAATGCTAAAGGGAGTACTTTATATTGAAATGAAAGGAAACTAGACAGTAATTTGAAGCTGAGTGAAGAAATAAAGATCTCTGTAAAGGTAAATACTGTGAGCCAGTATTAATGTATTTTTGGTTTGTTACTCCACTTTTTATTTCCTACATGATTTAAAAGAGAAATGCATAAAAAATAATTATAAATTTATGTAATTGGGCACACTGTATAAAATGTAATTTGTGACAACAATAACATAAGGGAGGGGGATAAAGCAAAGTTTTTTATGCTATTGATGCTAAGTTGGTGTCAATTAAAATTAGGTTGTTATAAATTTAGGATGTTAGTTGTTATAAATTTAGGGTAACCACTAAGAAAATATCTAAAAAATGAACAAAAAAGGAAATAATAAGGGAATCAGAACACTACAAAAAAATCAACCAAAAACAAAAGAAGGCAGTAATGGAGGAAATGAGGGGTGAAAGGTATCAGTCAGAAAACAAATAGCTAAATGACAAAAATAAGTCCTTCCTTATCAGTGATTACTTTAAATGTAAATGGATTAAACTTTTCAATCATAAGCAAAGATTGGCAGAATGGATTTAAAAAAAAAGTGACCCAACTGTATGCTGTCTACAAGTGACTCACTTTAGATCCAAAGATACAAATAGGTTGAAAGCGAAAGAATGAAAAAAGATATTCTAATATCATACAAAATAGGCTAAGTCAAAAACTAATACAAGAGACAAAGGACATTGTGTATTGATAAAGGGATCAATTCCTCAAGAAGATGTAACAATTATAAACATATACTCACCAAGCAACAGAGCCACACGTCCATGAAGCAAACGTTGACAGATTCGAAGGGAGAGATAGTTCTACAATAATACTTGGAGACTTCAATTCTCCACTTTCAATAATTCATAGAACATTTAGACAGAAGAACAATGAAGAAATAGAGGACTTGAGCAAGACTATAAACCAACTAGACTTAACAGACATTAATAGAACACTCCACCAAAATATAGCAGAATATACACTCTTCTCAATGCACATAGAACATTCTCCAGGATAGACCATATGTTAGGTTACAAGACAAGTCTCAGATTTAAAATACTGAAATCCTACAAAGTATCTTCTTTAATCGCAATGGCATGATGCTAGAAAGCAATAACAGAAGGAAAACTGGAAAATTCACAAATATGTGGAAATTTAAAAACACTATTTTTTTTTTTTTTTTGGTGAGGAGATCAGCCCTGTGCTAACATCTGCCAATCCTCCTCTTTTTTTTTGCTGAGGAAGACTGGCCCTGGGCCAACATCCACACCCATCTTCCTCCTCTCTACATGGGACGCCTCCACAGGAGGGCTTGCCAATCAGTGCGACGGTGCACGTCTGGGATCCGAACTGGCAAACCCCAGGTCGCCGTGGCGGAGCGCATGCATTTAACCACTTGAGCCACCAGGCTGGCCCCTAAAAACACTCTTTAAACCAATGAGTCAAGAAGAAATTACAAGAAAAATTAGGAAATACTTAGAGATGAATGAAAACAAAAGCACAGCATACCAAAACTTAACGGGGTGCAGCAAAGGCAGTGCTCCATGGGAAATTTATAGCCATAAAAAGAAGAAAGATCTCACATCAACAATATAACTTTACACCTTAAAGAACTAGAAAAAGAAAGCAAACTAAACTCAAAGCCAGTGGAAGGAAGGAAATAAGAAAGATTAGAGTGGAGACAAACAAAATGGAGAATAGAAAGACAACAGAGAAAATCAATGAAACCAAAATTTTTTTTTATCTTTTCACAGGCTAGGCAACAGCAGAGGCCCTTTCATTTGGGAGGCTTCTGGTCTGCGCTGTGAAAATGCTTCCTTGATAATTGTTTCTAGTCTAATTTCTCTGTTCCATCTCTAGAATGCTTATGAGCCAGATGACGGATCTCCTGACTTATTACTCTGTGTCTCTTCTTTTTAAAAAAAAAATCATTTTATTTGCCTTTCTATTCTATATAAAGTTTTTCAGAATTTTCTTCCAATCCTGTCAAATTTTTAATTTTAGCAGTCATATTTTTAATTTCCAAGAGCTTTGGAAAGATTGCTTTTTCATGCTGATGGATGTAATTATTTTGATAAATCCCTTGTCAAATGATCAAGTTATTTTGTTAGCTCATTTTAGTCTCTTTTGGGTTCCCTGAATCCTCTGTCCTCTGGGATCATTTCCTCTGCTTATTTTGGTCTTTGTGTTTCATGTTGCATTATTTCTTCAACTCGGGTGACCCTGACCCTTGGTTGGCTCTTCACCTCTAAGAAACATGAAACTGTGTTCTTGGGGGAAGCTTGTTAACTGGTAGGCTTCACTTTGGGGTGCTGAATAAGGAACCAACTAGTATTCTGGGGAGTTCCTAGGGGCCAGATGTAGGATTCTTTTCTTTGGGATCATTTCATTTCTTTAGAGAAGACCCTCTAGCTTTTTGGCCTGGGGATTTGATTGCCTAGTTGTCAGGCTTTCTTCTTGCCAAGATGGGGGTGTTAACTCTTCTGTCTGCAGACTTTCAATTAATCCTTCTCTTCACCAGTCCCAAATCTCACTACAGCCCTATGCCATATCGGGGTTTCTGCATCCAGAGCACCTTTAGGGTCTGTGGTGCTGGCAGTCTTCCCCTTTGGCTACATCCCCAGGTCCTTTTTTTCTTTCTCAACAGCAATGCAATTATTGGGGAGATGCAATTATATGCTTACCTTGTCCTACATATAACCCTTGGACTAAGGCAAGATGATTTTCTAGCACTGGCAACAAGACTAGTCTTGGGGCTAAGAACAGATGACAAGTCCTCTTAAGGCTGGATCATGATTCCCTGCCCTAGGCTGACCCACTTGATCTGAAAAGAATTTCCAACATGTAAATATTTTAGGATTGTAGCCATCTGGATACACACTTAAATTAACAGAAGTTTTGTTACCATTATTTTAGTTTCAAAGAGTCACCTAAGAACACCGCGGGTTGTTTTGTTCAAATGCCATGGCCACTGTAGTTAAAAAGCTTTTCTTTCAAAGCTGCCTCTTTTCACAACAGTAGAGCTCCGGCAGTGAATTAAGTGGTCTAGGATTCGATGAAACGGTGGCTAATTTCTGGTCCCAATCTGGAATTTAAAACAAATTAATGATTTATTTTAAGACTACTCACTCCTAAATTTCAGCACACTGTCCTTTTAACAATTGTGTACAATAACAAAATAATTTATGAGATTTAAGACAAAGGAATACATTTTAAAGATGTGGAAATAAAGGACTTAGTCAAAAGGTTATTTCTGTGGTTCAATCTCTGATTCAGAGGCATATTATTGAATTATGCCAAAATGTAAATAAAATTAAATAAATCACAAATTTGCACTCTAGATCCCCAAACCCTTTAAGTCCTACATTATAAACAGGCCACTTTGTGTCATCTTTGTATCAAACTGCAATTGTTGCCATTTCTAAATTCATACCCACTGGAGTGCCCTCGTATCTTATCTACATATCTTGTCTACAATCACTAACCGTTCTGCTTATCTGAAGGTAAGAGTTCAAGGAGGGCTTGGGTTGAACACCTCAATCATTGTATCCACACTTAATGAACCAAAGTTCAGAGTGTTCCAATGACAGCATTGTAACAAAACTGTCTTATGTACAGTGCTGTGCACTGTATTAGGTGTTTTTTACATTAACTCGAATATTCACAGTAACCCTCAGAGGCCTAGTGATATTATCACCATCAGCAAGAGCTTAATTAACTTGCCCAAGTTTACAGGACTTGTGGGGGGAGGAGCCCACACCTGACCCAGAGTTATCAGGCCCCAAAGTCCCTAATCTTTTCACTGTTCTATTCCACCTTCCACAGCATTTCAATAGCATTTAAAGAAATAAACATTTTGGGGCCAGCCCGGTGGCATAGTGGTTAAGTGCGTGCACTCCGCTTCGGTGGCCCAGGGTTTGCAAGTTTGAATCCTGGGCACGGACCAAAGCACTGCTTATCAAGCCATGCTGTGGCAGGCCTCCCATATACAAAGTAGAGGAAGATGGGCACATATGTTAGCCCAGAGACAATCTTCCTCAGCAAAAAGAGGAAGATGTTAGCTCAGGGTCAATCTTCCTCACCAAAAAATAAATACATAAAAAAAATAAACATTTCTTGATATTAAGAATGGATAAGATTATATTAACCCGGGGACTATGATTAGAAATGCCATCTCTGGAGGATTTTTTTAAATCTACTTTAGTTTAGAGTGATCCTGTCTGTGGTCAGTAGCCATATGACGTCTCAAGACTTATTATGGAGTTAAATAGCAACTCTGACCGTCTTGGGGACTGCATTGTATTCCAGAGAAATATATCCAAGTAGTTTAGAAGTGGGAGGAATCCTGCTTAACAGTCTTCCTGATCCTTGTTGTAAGACTTACAACGGAGCTGAATTGCACACACATTTGACCAGGGAAATTCAATAAACGTTCTGAGAACATACAACTAACTTTTGGGAGGTTCCTTCTGCCGTCCCACGTAGTGCGTACACATGCCCCTGGACAGTGGATGCGCTCAAGCCTGAAATATGCCACCCAGGGTTTGGGGGTGGGGAACACTATGGAAAGAATGTGTGAAATGATTTTTTGGATTTCCTTACCATTTGACAAAGTGAAATTATTGTTCATGTAGATTTGTGGTGGTGACTTCTTTGAAAGTCATCATTGAAAAATAAAATGAAGAATTAATTGAGAATCACAGAGAAAATTTAACCAACTTGATGAAGAATCCCATGTATTCCAAATACTTTAATGATTTAATAGCATTTATATTATCACTTTCAACAATTTAAGAGATTTTCAATGATAAGTTTGATTATACATGGTTATTACCTTATGCACTGGTTTTAGAACTTAATCTCACTATAAGACGCAATTCCGTTGTCTTAGGTTTTAAAAAAAATATTTATTATGGCACATGCTTATTCTTGATCAATAATTGATAGTTAACATTTTTTGAAAGTTTATTAATCTTATGTACAGGCACAATGCTGAATTCTTTTTATGGCTATCTCAATTCTATTGGGAAGATACTATTTTTATCCTTTCTGCAGATGAGAAAACTGAAGATCAGAGAGTCTCAGGGTCACACTGCTACTAAAAGCATATATTCTATTTTGGAAGAATGAGTTCTTTGAATTATTTGGCACCAGAGTGAGTAACACAAGGGCAGTTTTCATCTGAGGGGCTATCCCATCCTCCCAGGCTAGAAGCTCTCTGAGGACAGTCTTCACGTCTCCCACTGTGTCTTGCCCATTGTCAGTGCTTAATAAATGTTTCCTAAATAAATAAATGGACCCCTACGTGCTGAGAAAGAATTTTTACTGAGAAAGAATTTCTTAAGCAATAGTCATGATGTAGTATGATCTATATTTAATCTGTTCTTGAACGTTTCCCAAATAAGAAATAAGAACTGAACGTGGAACGCAGATCATTGCTAACCTAGACGTGTGCTCTGCCCTTATAATCTGATCACAAAGACTGCCAAATGATCAAGATAAAAAACCCTACAGCTTGATGAACAACTTAATATTACTGTATCTTATTTTGTGAAAAGCCCTTCCCCCAAAGACTTCTTCAAGGAGTCAGTTTCTTGTTTTAAGCAAACGTGTGATTCAGTCTCTGCTCTTTTCTCTATCAGGGCTCAGACTGGTAACATCTCTCTGTTAGGTCTCCTGCAGATCAGCTTTTTTCCTGCCTGATTGCTGTTTACAAAATAATCGGCACCTAAGCGTCTCTCAAATCCACCTAATATTGTCTCTACTGCTACCCCCATCATCAGTTGCCTGAATCACTGGTTCTTAAACTCGACTGTGCAGTGGAATTATCTGGGGAGTTTTAAAAATTCTTGATGCCTGGTATGCACAACTCCCACCAGGAGATTCTGATTTAACTGCATTGGGTATATTCTGGGCATCTGGATTTTTAAAAGTGATGTCACTGAGGTTCAGATCCTTTAGCCTAACCACTGCAATTGCCTCCTGACTCTCTGTATGCAACCTCTGCTCCACGCTACTCCACACCCTGCTCCCCTTTTCTTCTCCACAGTTAGAGAAATCTTTTCAAAATGCAATTTTAATTATGTCACCTCTACCCTCCTTAAAACTTTTCAATAGTTTCCCTTTAATCTCAGACTAGAGGCCCAAAACCTGAAAATGGCCTGTAAAGCCCTCCTTGTTCTGCTCTTGTCATCTCTCCAGCCACATCCTGCTCCACCCTTCTTGATTTCTGCACTTAGCACAGTCTTCTTTTTTTTAGCTCCTCAAACGTGGCGTGCTCCTACCACAGGGCCTTTGCACATGCTGTACTTGCCGAGAGGCTCTTCCCCACCTCCTTGCCTAATTAACCTTTAGCTCGTCTTTCAGCTCTCAGCTAATCATTTCCTCAGGGAAACCTTCTCTGACCTATTATATGATCCTATAGCACCACATAAACTCTGCTTCATAGCGTTTATGGCAGGTGAAATTTTATGCTTATTTCTATGCTGGTTTCCCCCTGAAGCTCCTTGAATGTAGAAACTTTGTGTCTATTTTTGTTTCACTTGGTATTGCCAAAACTTTGCACTTACTGGTATATAAGTAGGCTTCCAAATTGTTTACTGAAGGAATACATATGAATGAAGGAAAATGCACTCGACATCAAATCTATCACTAAGTCCAGCTGATGTGACCTCCAAAATATCTCCGGAATCCGTTTATTCCTTTTCACCTTCCCTGCTGGTCCAAGCCACCGTCACCTCTGGTCTACACTTCTAACTAGCTTCCTTACTGGTCTGCAAGCCCTCCTCTTGTTCCTTTCTCAATAGCGTCTTAACAGCAGAGGGAGTGATCTTTTCAAAATACAAATGACAAGTCACTCCTCTGATCACAATCCTTCCAAGTCTGCCCATTGCTCCTAGAATAGAATCCAAGCATCCTAAACTCTGACCCTCACTGACTACCCACCAAACAACCCTGGCTTCCTTTCCGTTCTTCAAACACGCTGAGCCATTTCCAGCTTTCAAGCTTTGCACTTGCTGATCCCTTTGCCTGAAATGCTCTCTACATGACTCATTCTTATTTTCCAGGGCTCGGCTAAAATGGTACGGAGGTTTCCCCTGACTGCACTATTAAAGTAACCTCCCTTAGCTACACCCTTCCCTCTGCTTCTTTCCCCCGTAGCACTGCTACAGTCTCTAATCTTTCAGAAATGTACTTGGTTATGGTCTATATCCCCCACTCGAATGTCACCTCCAGGAAAGCAGGTGTCGTGTCTATACTGGTCACCCTACTCCTGTCAGACAGCACCGTGTCTGGTTCATAATGGACGCTAAATCAATGATGGAATCCAGCTTCCAAGGTGGACCCCGATGATTCCGACCCCTGGCATCAGAGCCTGTGTAATCTGCTCCCACAGTGCTTCAGGGCTGGCTGGCTGTGACTAATCAGAAGTGACGGTGTGTGACTTCTGAGCCTAGGTCATAAAAGCCATTGCAGTTTCCACTTTCATCTCGGATCGCTCATTCCATTGGAAGCTGACTGCCACGCCGTCAGGAACTCAGCAGCCCCACGGGGAGACCCACCTGGAAAAGCACTGAGGGCTCGATCACCAGCCAGCATGTGAGTGACAGCCATGTGAGTTGTCAACCCTTGGAGGTGGATCCTCCCGCCCCAGTCAAGCCCTCCCATGGTGCAGCACGCACCCACATCTGATGATGCCTGAGAGAGACCCCGAGCAGAGCTCCCAGCTGAGCAACTCTCGACTTCCTAACCCGCAGAAACCATGAGAGACAACAATCATCATCATTGATGTGTTAAGTCACTGGGTTTTGCAATGATTTGTTAATCCTCAATTGATAACTAATATACACTCAATCAGTGATTCAATGAATAGGGCAATGAATATTTCATCATAAATGATCTCTTGAATTGGTCAGGCTTCAAACCTCACCAAGTAGCGGGCTGTCCAACCCTGTTCCTCATCTTATGTTGCTTAGCCCGCACTTTCCAGTATCGCATTTTCAGTTGTCTACAGATCCCAACTTGACACCTCTTCTGCCTAAAACCATTATTTCTATCAGAGGCACCAACAATCTTGCGGTAGAAGTGGGAGGCTGTGCAATGAGCTTTAATTTCTCTTTTGTGAATTCTCTATTAACGCTGGCCTTTCTCACTCCAAATCCTATGCCTTATAAGTCTTCTTCCCATTTCCCATGAAATCTCCTTAGTTCAACCTAAGAGCAAGGGTTAGGAGTGAGATATATCTGGATATGACCTAATGACTTACCAGCCACTTGCTTGAGTAGGTTTCTTAAAGTCCCTAAGCCTCCGTTTCCTCTTCTACTAAATGAAGTTAATAATAATACCTACCTCATGGGGGCTACTAAGACTCATGCGACCGTGAGCGTGCACACACATATGTGAGTAAGCCACTTGGCACAGTTGTGGACACACAACAGATATTTTAAATTCTAACAGCTATCCTGGAACGTAGACTTTGGATCTCCAGTTCACAGAGGCACAAAAAAGTTCAGAGAAGCTGAGTGTCTTGCCCAACACCACACAGTTGGAAGGTGCCAGGACTGCAGCCCTCCAAGGCCTGAATCCTGCTTGCTTCACACGGATGCATCCTGCATTACCACCACAGCTTCCTAGTCCCTCTTCTCTCGTGCCGTCTGTGCCTTCTCCAACCAGCCTGAGCGGGCTAGCAGCCCCACGTGCTCTCCAGCCGACTGGGTCACTCCCTTGACTCAGACCCTACAATGATGCTGACTGTCCACATTCAACTTTCCAGACTCCTTCAGCTCCGCACTCTCTCGTACTCTGCCAGTCTGCATTTTAATTCCACCCCCTCCTTCTACCTGGTCCAGTCAGGCCAGCATCCTCTCACTGGGGTCCTCTCTGTGTGCCAGCCCCCACAAACCTCACCCTCCTTCTTCCCACCCACAGCCCCTAGTAGCAGTGTCCCCATCTGTAGTGTCCCTCCGTTTCTTCTCCACCATGCAAATCCTAGCCATCAAGGCCCAACTCAGTTCCCCACTGATGCCTGCTGCTTTCCCGCTGTTCTGGGCCCCAGTGAACTCATCTTTCAACGCCTGCTCCTCTACCTGGTACGTGATCATTTGCTGATAGGGTGATCACTGCCTCGTGTTTCCAATTACATCGTGAGCTCCCTGCAGCTGAGATCACAGCCTGGACTTTCTTTCACCTCCTCCCTGGCACCTCACGCAGTGCTAGAGGCATAGTAGATGGTAAATATTGAATTGCTTTGCTAAACATTCACTTGGCTCTACACGTTTGGAAGGAATTAAGAACTGTCTTCTAAAATAAACAAGGGAGAAAATCTTTCGTGTCTATCTAACAGAATTTCCCCACAGCAGAGGATTTGCAAAGAAGGTCCTGTTTATGATCACTTTGGAAACCAGAGGCCCCCTAGGTTCCCTCCTGCAAAGGAAACATTTCGTACACGGTCGGCCTTGAAAGGACAAGCTGCTTGGCCAGGGCTGTGTGAACAGGAGCCCACTGAGACCTCCCGCCCACCTCTTCTTTCCAACTGCTCCTCAGCCCCAGGCCTCACTCATCCTTCAGCCCTAACCTATGACTTACCCGACCCCGGCGCCCTCTAACATAACCCCCCTCAAGGTCCCCTGTGGGACCCCAATTCCTGCCAGCCAGCACTTCCTCCCAGCGCCTCCTTCCTTGAATGACCTGATCTCGGCCCCCAGCCTCCTCCCCATTCCCTCTGCTCCCTGCCCTCTCAGGCTCGACCTTCTCTCACCTCCCAGAACTCAGCTGTGCCCTGCTTGTAACCGCTTACCCCAAACCTTTCCTGTCAATTTCTGCCCCCGTGCCAGCTTCACCTATTGCCGCCCCATCCCTGGCTCAGCTCTCTTGAGACACGCCTGGTCCCATCTGCTCCCCACTCTCCTGGTTGCTGTTCCCTTGGGACCTAGTCCCAGCCCTGCCCTGGTGCTCCCTCCGGGCTGCAGCTCTTGTCTTGGGGGAAAAGAAGGAAGGGCAGGTCCTTCTCATCCCCAACCCACTGCCCCACCATCCTTCTACTAGTTTTCTTATTTTTTTTGAATAAAAGGAAAGTGACTTACTTTAAGGAAAGCTATTAAATAACTAGCAATACAAGCGACACTCAGCTGTGACAGAGGCAGGAGAGCTTATAGGTCAGGCACAGAGCTCGGCTGCTTTCTGTGTCTGAAAGGACCTGGGTCTAAATTCTGCTTGTCCGACCTCTGGCAGGATGATTTGGGGCGAGTTAAGTAACTGCTTCTGCAACTTGGTCTCCCTTACCGTAAAATGGGGAAAATAATAGCACTTACCTCAGAGAGCTGTTATGAGGACAAAATGTGTGCCTGCCACAGTGTAAAAGCCCCAGAAACATTGCGGTTTACTCATTTAGAAAGTCTGCCAGTGAAGTAATTCATTCTACTCACTACAATTCAAAGCATCCATGAAACAGGAATAGAGGTAATGTCTAAGTGCCCGTGTGTGTACCCCCAGGGCTACATCTGGGGGGAGCCTGGGTCCCTGGGTACTCTCGCACATGCTGCAGCAGAGAGAGATACTACACAGGGAATTTAGCATTTTTGAAACATGACTCCAAATGTCAAATAATTGTCATAAAGCCATTTAAAATAGGAGAATGAGAAAAAGTTCCCTCAATAGTATGTTTAGGCACAGTAACAAATCTGTGGGGTGACAAGAGGCTCAGTAAGGACTGGACAGACTTAAGCCTGCTTCTTAGCAAGGACACTTATGTATTCTCTTCCTTGAAGTCCTATATGGGGAGCTAGGAAAGGAGGAAAGGAAAAGGCAGCCCTCAGAGCAGCCCTTTACCTTCTTCCCTCACCTGGACATGCACGCACACCCCTCCCCACAACTTGACTGGTCCCAGATATGCTCTCTGAGACGGCAAGGCCGTGGGAGAGGCTCGTCTGTTCCGGGCAAGGATGATCTCACAGAGTAAGAGCAGTTGACTTGACTTACCCATCTTGTAAAACGGCAGAGAATAGTCTCGTTGGTAAGTGGTTTCTTTATACCATGGTTCTGCAGGCTTTGAATGTCTTTGAAAACAAATATATCGAATGAGAGTGTGTTGGTCTAATTGAGGTTGACACTGACTTTTTCTCTTGGGTGGAATTGCCAAATCTGTGAGAGGTCTAAATGAAAATAGAAACAGCTTGCTGAAAACCAAGTAGAAGAAAAGCATTTCATTTCCTCATCAGCTGAAATCCATTCCCTAGAAATGGCCAGGAGGCTACAAAGACAGTATTGGCAAGACTCCATAGCTCCAAGGCCAGCCCTAGCAAACTTGTCAGTGGATGGCTCAGGGATTCCAGTCCCCTGGTCTTCCCTTAGCATCACTCCTCCCCCATCACAAGTCACAGAAGCGACCTGCATCAAAACTTCCACTGGATCTGCTCATGCATGGCTACTTCCCAAGTCCAGATCTTCCCAATACCCTTCTCATTGTAATTTTCTATGGATGTTTGGTTTCCCCAAGGAGCCAATGCTTTCTTTTGACCACACTAACCATTATGGTGCATAGTTATGCTTGACGAACTTGAAATCAGTTATAACCTTCCTGTACCTCTACTCAGATGAGTACCCTCTGAAGGTAAAAGTAAAGAAGAATCAAAATGTAATGGTGAAGTATCTTCATACACTTGAAGGAGTATACATTCACTGGTGCAATTTGTTTGAGAACACTTTGGTGATAGGTATTAATACCTTTAAAATGTGCATATATTTTGTCCCAGCAACTCCAGGAATTAGCGATGTCAATAAAGACTTAGCTCTAAGAATGATCATCAAAGTATTTTTATGATAATTAAAAAAGTGGAAACAACCTTTGTGTGAAAAAAAATAGAATTATTGGGCAATGATACAGACATATACAGAAATACCACACCACTAAAAGTGATGCTGTAGGGCCGGCCCTGTGGCTTAGTGGTTAAGTGTGTGCACTCCGTTACTGGCGGCCCGGGTTCGGATCCCGGGCATGCACCGATGCACCGCTTCTCCGGCCATGCTGAGGCCGTGTCCCACATACAGCAACTAGAAGGATGTGCAGCTATGACATACAACTATCTACTGGGGTTTTGGGGGGAAAATAAATAAATAAATAAAATTAAAAAAAAATAAAAAACAATAAAAGTGATGCTGTGGAATTATAATTTTTGAGATGGAAAAAAAGTCCACAATATATTATTAAGTTTAAACAAAAGTTTCACTTGAATTGTACACTTTAAGTTGATGAATTGTGTCATATGTGAATTATCTCACTACAACTGTTATACAAAAAAGGTATCAATCAACAAAATATTAGCAAACTGAATTCAACAATACATTAAAAGGATCATACATCATGATCAAGTGGGATTTGTTCCAGGGATGCAAGGATGGTTCAGCATCCTCAAATCAATCAATGTGCTACCCCACATTAACAAAATGAAAGATAAAAATCATATGATCATCTTAGTAGATGCAGAAAAAGCATTTGGCAAAATTCAACATCCATTCATGATAAAAACATCCTTTTTTTTCCTTTGGTGAGGAAGATTGGCCCTGAGCTAACATCTGTCGCCAATATTCCTCTATTTTGTATGTGGGACGCCACCACAGCACGGCTTGATGAGCCGTGTGTAGGTCCATGCGTGGCATCTGAACCCACAAACCCCAGGCTGCTGAAATGGAGCATGTGAGCTTAATCACTATGCCACAAGGCCAGGCCACATGATAAAAACTCTTAACAAAGCAGAGGGAACGTACCCCAACATAGTAAAGCCACATGTGACAAACCCATAATTAACATCATACTCAATGGTGAACAGCTGAAAGCTTTTTGTCTAAGACAAGGATGGCCACTCTCACCACTTCTATTCAACATAGTATTTCTCTGGTCAGAGCAACTAGGCAAGAAAAAGAAATAAAAGGCATTCAAATAGGAAAGGAAGATGGAGAACTGTCACTATTTGCAGATGACATGATATTATATATAGAAAACCCTCAATACTCCATCAAAAAGCTGTTAGAACTAATAAACAAATTCAGTCAAGTTGCAGGATACAAAATCAATATACAAAAATCTGCTGTGTTTCTATACACTAATAACGAACTATCAGAAAGAGAAGTTGAGAAAACAATTCCATTTGCAGTTGCATCAAAAAGAATAAAATAGGGGCTGGCCTGGTGGCATAGTGGTGAAGTTTGCATGTTCTGCTTCGGCAGCCCGGGGTTTGCCAGTTCAGATCCTGGGCACAGACCTACTCACTGCTCATCAAGCCATGCTGAGGTGGTGTCCCACATAGAAGATCTAGAAGGACCTACAACTAGGATATACAACTATGTACTGGGGCTTTCGCAAGAAAAAAGAAAAAGAGGAAGATTGGCAACAGATGTAGCACAGGGCCAATCTTCCTCAAAAAAAAAAAAATGCCATGCAGAGAATCTAAAAAAAAAAAAAAAGAATAAAATATGTAGGAATAAATTTAATCAAGGAGGTAAAAGACCTGTACGTTGAAAACAACAAGACATTGATGAAAGAAATTGAAGAAAACACAAATAAATGGAAAGATATTCCATGGTCATGGATTGGAAGAATTGATATTATTAAAGTGTCCATATGACCAATGCAATCTCTATCAAAATTCCAATGGCATTTGCACAGAAATAGAATTTTGGAAAGAATTCTAAAATTTGTATGGAACCACAAAAGACCCTGAATAGCCAAAGCAATCTTGAGAAGGAACAAAAAAAAGTTGGAGGTATCATACTCCCTGATTTCAAACTATATTACAAAGCTATAGGTAATCAAAACAGTATGGTATTGGCATAAAAACAGACACACAGATCAACGGAACAGAATAGTGAACCCATAAATAAACCCATGCAAATATGGTCAATTAAGTTATGACAAAGGAACCAAAAAATACAATGAGGAAAGAACAGCCTCTTTAATAAACGGTGTTGAGAAAACTGGACAGACACGTGTGAATGAATGAAACTGGGCCCCTGTCTTATACCATACACAAAAATTAACTCAATATGGGTTAAAGACTTGTATGTAAGACTTGAAACCATAAAACATCTAGAAGAAAACATAGGGGATCAACTTCTTGACAACGGTCTTGGCAATGATTTTTTGGTTTTGACACCAAAAGCAAAGGCAATCAAAGCAAAAATAAGCAAGTGGGACTACATCAAACCAAAAAGCATCTGCATAGCAAAGGAAACCATCAACAAAATGAGAAGGTAACCTACTGAACTGGAGAAAATAGTTGCCAAACCTATATCTGATAAGGAGTTAATACTCAAAATACATAAAGAACTTATACAACTCAATAGCAAAAAAACAAACAATTCAATTAAAAAATGGGCAGAGGATCTGAATAGACATTTTTCCAAAGAAGATAAACAGATGGCCAATAGACACATGAAAAGATGTTCAACATCACTAATTATTAGGTAAGTGCAAATCAAAGCCACAATGAGATATCACCTCACACCTGTTAGAATGGCTGTTATCAAAAAGATGGGATAATAAGAGTTGGCAAGGGTGTGGAGAAAAGAGAACCCTTGTGTACTGTTGGTGGGAATTTCCATAGTTGCTGCAGCCACTATGGAAAATAGCATGGATGTTCCTCAAAAACTTAAAAATAGAACCACCATATGATCCAACAGTTCCACTTCTAGGTATTGATCCAAAGGAAACAAAATCACTATCTCAAACAGATATATGCACTGCCATGATCATTGCAGCATTATTTACAATAGCCAAGACATGGAAACAACCTAAGTGTCCATTGACAGATGAATGGATAAAGGAGGTGTGTATATACATACAATGGAATGCTATTCAGCCATAAAAAGAAGGAAATCTTGCCATTTGCCATAATATGGGATAGACCTTGAAGGCATTATGCTAAGTAAAATAAGTCAGAATGGGAAAGACAAACACTCTATGATCTCACGTACATGTGCAATCTAAAAAATCCAAATTCATAGAAACACATAACAGAATAGTGGTTGCCAGAGGCAGGTTGGGGGAGTGGGTGAAATGGGTGAAGGCGGTCAAATGGTACACACTTCCAGTTATAAGATAAATAAGTCCTGGGGATGTAATGCACGGCATGGTGACTATAGTTAACAATACTGTATTCTATATTTGAAAGGTACTAGGAGAGTAGATCTTAAAAGTTTTCATCACAGGAAAAAAACATTTGTAACTATATGAGGTGATAGATGTTAACTAAAGTTATTGTGGTGATCATTTCACAATATATACATATATCAAATCATTATGTTGTACACCTAAAACTAATACTATGTTATATGTCAACGACATCTCAATAAAACTGGGGGAAAAAGGGTTTCAAAATACCATCCCATCCTATTTTGTGTAGATCTGGAAGATTCTGCATGATTATCTACCTATGGGTGATGATATTATGAGTAATTTTCAATTTTTTATTTTTTGATTATCAATATCTTCTACATGTTCTAATAAACATGTATTTTAAACTATAAAATAGAAGAGATGGGCTGCTACAGATGTGAAAACTATCAAACGCTGGGTAAGATTTAAGAACATCTAAATCCAATCATTTAGTAGTGGGATGTAGTCTTTCTTGATTGTATCACTGTGATTAATCACACTTAAACAAGGTGACAGAAACTGCTTAATTATAATTCATTATGTTTACACACTTGGGTGAAAACTTGATTGTTATGTGCCCTCTTTAAAGAGAGTGTTAGCAGAAATGGAGGGGCTCTGCCCGAAGCTCAGAAAAAGCAAGTGCAAGCATCTGACCGTACTTGTGCGGCTCTGGACTGGGAGAGACGCTGGATGGGCGGAGGGGTGCTCTGTTGTGGATATGACAGAGGAGCACCAAGAACTCCCGTCCACTTGCTCTTCTTCCTGCTACATGCTCTTCTTTCGTGCTTAATAGGTTCTTGGTCCTGCAAAGTGGGTGCCCAATATGGGGAGCATTCCTTTCCCTACAAGAGCATGTCTCTGAATGTCAATCAAAACACTAGCTGTCTGATGAACCTGTCAGTTTCTTGTGCATTTGGGTTGTCTTTTCCTTCTTCTTATTCTTTACTAGAAGCTTAATAAAGTCATTGATTGACATTTGCACTAAGTTTTCCCCGTCAGGCTACTCTTGGGCAGGCACCAGCCTTGCCAAGTCCAGGGGAGTCAGGGTCCCCTTTGCCTGATCCACCCTGTGGAGGAGGACTGACATTTGGGCGCAAAGCATTGGGGTTGAAAGATTATCAGAGTCCACAGAACACATGTGGAGAGTGCCCCGTGGGGCTGGCCGTGAGCAGCTCTGGCGGTGGGGTTCTGTCGTTTCCTTTCTTATCTGTCCTCTGGCAGAGGACACAGCCCTGACCAGAGCTTAATACAAGTATGTATTTGAGTTAGAACAAGGAGCCTTTAGCTGGGAATCAGAAAACGTGGATAGATTCAAGACCCAGCTTTTACATCGAAGACCCGGCTTTTACATCAACCAACTGTACCTCTGGCAAGACATGTCACCTCTCTGGGCTACACCTTATTCATCTAATTGGACCAGGTTGACCTCTAAAGCTACTTCCAGTTAAACCATCTATTAAGTTTAGACTATGTGCTCCCTTTTCTTTGTGTGGAGGACAATCAAGAGTTGACTATATCAAAAGCAATTAAAAGAAGAAGAGAAATTTGTAAATTATATTAGATGATGAACTCAAAATAACAGCCATCATATGCTGAGTGCTTACTATGTCCTGGAATTTTACATCAGTTATTTTATTTAACAGATAAGTCAACAGATGCTCACGGAAGAAATGAAAATTGCCCAAGATCGAACATTTCATAAGTTACTCAAACTGCTGCTTTTAACTACTTTGGTTTCCAGCCTCTCAAAACTAGAAAGTAATGTCAAAGTGCCTTTTTTGTTGTTGTTGTTAAAGCCACGTCCAGAAAGGCAGAAGTCATTTAGGCCAAATTTGTAATTTTACTGAGAAGGAAAGTGAGTCTCAGGAAGGTTAAGTTATTTGGCCAAGTTGAACTTTAAACTCATGGTATTTCTTAAACTTCTTTGATGATTTAATAAAATTCTATATTCATTGCCGATTATAAATGTAATATATGTTTGTTAGAGAAAATCTGGAAAATAGAGCAAAAGATAAAAAATAAAATACAAATACCAATAATCTCACCATTCATAAAACACTATTGTTAACCATTTGGTGTATTTCCTTCCAAAGTTTTTCTATCCATTCAATAATGATAATTATTGTTTTCATTGTTATTATTATAAATTGTGATTCCCGTTTTCTTTTTTTTCATTTGTCATTCTAACTTTAGTGACATTTTTGAAAATTAAGGTTTAGGAAGGTGTCTGACCTGAGAGATCTGTTCACACTGTAATCAGGATGGACTCTTGCCAGCTGCCCAGGGTAATAGCCTTGAACGTCCCTTCCTTGACGAGCAATGAATACACTAGTGGAGAAAGCAAGGGGTGAGAAAAAAGCAATTATTACAGTTAGTTCTTTGCAGAGGAATACCAGCTGTGGTATAATAAGAAATATATCTGGTCTTTGTCCCCAGTTCCTGGCACAGAGCTCATAAAACTCTTGGAATTTCTTGATAGGAGTGTTTTTTGTTACCCTTTTTTCAGCATTCAGTTTTCAGGATTCATAAGGAGATATCTGACTTGTCAGCTATTGGATGCAAAACACCAGAAAAAAAAGAATAGGAGGATATGTAAAACCAGTGGGGCAAATGTTGATAATTGTTGAAACGTGGGAATGAGTAAATAGGGGTCCTTACATGATTTTTTTCTACTTTAGATATGTTTACAAACTTTCACAATAAGTTTTTTTTTTTTTAAACTGTAATACTTAAGTGTATAGAGGCTAAAAATGAAGAAGCCCCGTGATGTCAAAGCACGAGGTGAGCCCAGAGAAGGAACTCAAGCCCTGCCTGGGGGGCTGGTCGGGAAAGTTCTGAAGCACAAACAGAGTGGAGGAGGTGGAGAATGGGAGGAAGTGCTCCTGGGGTGGGAAGGGGAGATGGGCGTGTAGGGCTGAAACACAACGGCATAGGGGAGATGACTCGGGGGTAGTGGTGGCCAGAACTTAACGTTTTGAAATACATCTTACTTTATAATAAATTCCTCTTCCTTTTGGATTAAAACAACATTATATTGATACTTTAAAATTATGTGTAGTTGGATTATGTTACAGATTTTATTGCAGAAAAGTAGAAGGGACATTGCAAAGTATTTGTTACAAAAAAAGGGAGTGTTGCATCTGACAGGTTGAGAACCACTGATGTAGGTGACAGGGAATCTCTGTAGGATTTTTAAGAAGATTGACGATGTAACACAATTTTTATTTTGGAAAGATTTTCACTGGTGGCAGTGTGGAAAACACATTTGAGGACAATCTAATTAGAAGTAGAAAGACTGGTTGGAGGCAATTGTAGTCATTTATGTGGGACACGGTGAAGCTCTGAAATATGTGGTGGAAATGTGGATGGAGAGGAGAGGATACTTTTGGAGAGAGGATTGAAGGTAGAAGAGCGGGAGGTGTCCAAGTCAAGGCTTAGGCTTCAGGCACTGGGAAGAATGTTGCCATGTCCCAGGAGAGGGGAGCTAGGAAGGTGACCATTGTGGGGAGGATGACTTTATAGAGTTTATGATAGGCGGGATTTTTGGGGACCGTCCACAGATTCTGAGCATTCAGTAGGTGCCAGAAGAATTCAGGAAGAGTCACTAGAAAGTAGCACATAGTTTTGCACGTAGTAGCTCACCAATATGTGCTGGATGATGAACGGAAACTTAAACTCTGCCTCCAGTCCAACCAGCGTTTACTGAATGCACATAACGTCCCCGGCACGCTGCTAGGGTCTGCAGATATGAAGCTGACGAAGAAGCAGTCCTTGTCCTCAAAATGCTTTTTATGTGCTGAAATAGTGATCTGAATAAAGGGTCAATGAGGGCACAGAGAGGGCGGGGGTCTAGGATTTGAGCAGGCAAATAGGATGGGGAGGAGATTCCAGGTGAGGGGAATTATAATAAAAGCCAAGACTTGGACAGAGTTGGATCAGAATGGAGTGTGTGGGGGCCAGTGGGGACCTCGCTCTCTAACCAGCATGAAAGACCAATGCTGTGAGCAAGGTAGGTCTGTCTGCCTGTGCAAACAGGACCTCCGGGAGCTCTGATTTTCAAAAAACCGCAGGCTGCCTGGGCCTGTCCAGTGGCTAGGATAAAATGACTGGGCCCTGAAGAGTAAACAACAAATGACATTTCTGAGTGTATGGGAACAGGAGACATTGCTTTCTTAGGCGCCCATCCAGTTTCTGAAGCACAACCTGGGAATGATTACCCTAGGACCATGTTACGGTTTGTTATGATCCAACTGGAGTTCCAAACCCACACTGGCTCCTCCCAGTTGCTACGCTGTTTGCAGCAGGCTGTGTTTCGACCATGACTTCTTCAGTAGCACGCACACAACAAATACCTGCTGAATACAGGTGAGCAGCCTAAACACTGCTCCTTGGACTGGTCCGTAACAGCTGTTTGAGAATGGAGAAGCCCTTCACCAGCACCCGATGACACGCCTGCCCGCGGTCCCCAGGAGCGGTGAGAGGGTGCGAAAGCGTGTGAGCAGATGGTGTTGGGGGAGGGAGGGCTGGGTGGAGAAGCAGGGAGGTTCGGGAATGAAACAATGGCGCCCTTTGCCTCCATGCTTTGGGTAGACTTTCCAAGCTCTTCCATGGGACCTTCACCTCAAACAGGAGAAAGCCCCCAATTAAGAGGTTAAAATGTCGGTGTTTGGAAGAGAATGTTTATCTCCTAAGGGGCAACGCCTAGCCTGGCATGACAGTCGGTGTACCCAGAGGCTGCGCGGTACCTGGCCTCTCCCGAGGAGGTTGGATGTGGGGCAAAACAGATTAATGACTAGGAAAGCAGTGCTGGCTCTGCAGACCCTGCCACTCTATTGACTTGGCTCTCAAGGTCCTTGAACCAGCTGTAGAAAGGCCATTCCTTCTCCCTGGACAGGAGCAGGAGTCCGGCTGTGTCTGATTCCACCATACATTGTTTACCAGTCCCTGACGTGTTCAGTCCAGACAAGAGCAAACCTGTCCCCTGGGAGGGTGAACGGAACTGGAGCAGGATCTGGGCTTAGCTGCAGACAAAATTCAACATGCACAGCGGAGGTCGTGGGTGTTCGTCCCTCAGGAGCCTGGACCCACGGCCTGAGGTAGCACGTGTTCTGTGACTATGCAATTCTGTTATGTCTGCCTTGGGCCTCATGCTTTACAAAGCGTCTTTACAGAGATGAACTCATCTAATTCTCACAGTCACCTCGCCAGGTAAATATTAACACCCCGTTACAGAAGAGGAGACGGAGGCTCAGAGAGGTGAAGTGGACTGTCTAAATATCACCCGGCTGGTAAAGGCCAGAGCTGTGAATCAAACCTGGTCCTCTCAGCTCCACGTTGCACCCAGAGTCATCCGTGTGTACACACGAGGACTTCTCTTCAGAAGAGTTCAGCGCTGTTTTGGTTTGAACTCTGTGATTCTCTCACTTACGGGCAGACAGGAAGCAGATGTTGTGTACCGAAGCAACAGGAAAAGAAATAGACACGGCAGTGTTAGCTGGAAGCTGCTTTCAACTCAATAAAACAAGCACTTATTGCAGGCTCAGATGAGTCTGCCATGTGCTGCGGATACAGTGATGATAAATACTGTCCTTCTACCCAAGAATTCATAACCTGGTAAGGAAAACCATATTCGGGCAACTGACGAATCATAGACAGTGTGGTGAGTGCTGCCCAGTCAGGAAACTGACGACCTGGCCAGGACACCGGCTAATAAGTACAGAAGACAGGAGACCGCCAGGCCCGTGCTCTCATCTCCCAGGCTCCCCTGGCTCCACTGAGCTCCTCATCAGTAAAGTGGGGGTGACACTATCGTCTCCATTCGTGATTCCGTGGGAGTCCATGAGACATCTGCAAATGTACTCGCTGACTAAAACATCCCATCTGTGTTAGGTGCGTTCTAGGCAGGATGCACTGACCCCCATATCTGCCTCTTGATTTCCCAGAGACCACTTCAGTCGATGTTTCTAAAATCCATTTACGTCCGACACAAATTCCATATCTTGATCTTCCACACCCTACGGAGTGTAATCCACCTGAAGTGGTCTTTTCAGGAACATCCTGGGCTCCACAAACCAACACAACACCCAGCCCTGCCCCTGAGTGACAGGCCTGTTGCTTGGGGAATGGCACCAGTTAACGTTTGCATCTAAAATAATTCTTATTATGAGACTTCTGTGTGGTCTCTACAACTTGTGAACCGTTTACTATTTAATTTTATTAGGGGCCCCTACTGGTTTGTAACTCAGTTTTCCCTAGTATAGCCCCAAGGGTCAGGCACGTAAGGATGAACTGGATAAATGCTTGTGCGAAAGGAACAGCAGAAGGGCAGGCCTTCTGCATGTACCCTCAGTCACCAGGAGGCCAAGCCACAAATAAATGACAGAATCATTTTTTCTCATGGATTCATTCATTTTCATTTTTTCAACAAATGTGCATAGAGGGCCCACCTCGTCTGGCAATCTGCTAGGCAGAGGTTATGACGTGGGTTGCAGAGAGAGGCAGACAAGCGCCCCCTAGGGGAGCTAACCTGGAGTGAAGTGCAGTGACCAAGGGCACAGAGGCTGGAGCCGGACCCGTGGGTTCAAATCCTGCCTCTGCCAACTACTTGCTAGCTGTGGGATCTTGGGACAGTCACTTAACCACTCTGTGCCTCAGTTTCCTCATCTGTACCTCACAGTCACTGTGAGGATTAAATGAGTTCATACACACTTAGAACACTGCCCGCCATGTAATAAGAGCTGTGTAAGTGTTAACTATTATTCCAGTGGCTGAGACAGACAGGAAATAAAGACACAAATAAAATAATTGGAAGTTGTGATAAGGGCCCTAAAGAAAACCAAAAAGGGTGTGAGATGGAGCATAACAGAAGGGGAGAGGTGGGCAGAAGGAGAAGACCTTCTCCAGCCTGGGTGGTAACAGCTCTCTGAGCAGCTGACCACAGAGCTGGGACCTGCTGGGTGAAGGGGGCTGGTTAAGACAAGGGATGGGGGAGAGTGGGGGCAGGGAGCAATCCAGGAGAAGGAGCATGCCCGCAAGCCCTAAGGTGCGGAAGAGGGTGGCCTACTAAAGGGACAGGAGAAAGACTGGGGCTGGAGCTAAGGGAAGGCTGGAGAGAGAGGCAGGGCTGGTACACGTGGGGCTCTGTAGGCCCTGGCAACGAATTTGGATTTTACGCAAAATACAATGATTCCAGGGTTTTATGCAACAGAGGTCTTGGTTCAATTTTCATTCCATGAAGCTCACTCTGGAGAATGGATCGCAGGAGGACAAGAGGGGTGGTCGCTGTGGGTGAGCAGGAGAGAGGCAGCCATCGTCTGGACCAAGTGGTGGCAGTGGAGATGGAGAAAAGCGTTCCTAGGGGAGATGTATCCTGGAGGCAGAATTGAGGAGCTTGTTGATGGACTGGACTCACTATTGTTGCAAAGGCAGGAAAGACATAAAGTAGACAGAGACCTGCTCCACGGTGAGGACTGTGGGTGGAGGGTGGGGCACCCGTCTAGCTCAGGTGAAGTGTGCCCCCTCGCAGGGCCCTGATGGGCGAGCACAGAGAACTGAATCCAGCCCAGGCTGAGGACCCCAGCAGGCACGGTGCCTGCTGCACCATTTTCCATTCAATCCCTCAGGCTTCCCACTGGCTGGCACAGGGCAGGCCCGTGACTCTGACTTGGTTCCATTGAGCTCCAGGCAGCAGCAGCCAAGGGAGGTTTGTTTCCGTTTTCCCCAGAAGATGAGACCACAGTCAAACAGGCCCGACAGTGGACAAAACAGATCTCAGACACACACAGAAAGACCAAGGGCTTGTGGGGAGGCAGAAATCAGGAAACGCTGTTTCTGTTCCATCCCTGTTTCTCTCCACTCTGCTTCCTCTTCACACAGGTTTCAGGGAGGGAAGGGCAGGCTCTGTGCTTTCTCTGAAAGAGGGCTCTTAAAGTATCTAGCAATGAAGGATCCTTGTCTCACCCCTCCTTCAGTAATTTCTGGAAGCAAAGGCCTTATCGCTGCTGACAAAGCATTGTTAACAATAACTAAATACTAAAACAATCATGAGGCCTGCTCAAAACCACGAAGCCAATGGGGCTGCAAGAGGCTGACTCCAAAGTCACTTGTTGTGTGGGGTTCCTGCCCCTATTTCACAGCTTCTAAATCTCTGCAGACACCATAGCCAGTGGTGAAGGGAGGGTGGGGTTAGGATCTGTAGATTGTTGTCCAATAGCTCTCACAATAATACATGTCTAGGACTTGTTATTCTTGGGCGATGGATGCACTTGGTGAATGAGTGAAACTCCTACTTCGTCTCCATCTGTGCAGTCACCTCCCGTGTGCTGTGGCCTGGGGTGGTTTGTTTTGTCCCAAGCAGAGTAAAGGGGTCCCCTCTAAAATTTGGCCCTGGGTCCCTCAGACTTCTCCCCAAGCAAAATCCCAATATCCTTCCAATCTTTGGGGAATTTGGAGTTTCCCCTTTGCTTGGATTCTGCCATGCGTGTGGGACTGTTTTTACAACTGTCCTTAAACCCAAAGAAACTTCTCTAGAACCCTCTGGCAGCAGTGGTCTCTCCATCACGGAGCAGCCGGTGAGCAATTCTAACTCCCTGGGTGCCTGTCTGCCTTGCCCTGGAGGAACGTTACCTGGGTGGGATCACTGGCCGGCGGTCAATGATTTCACGTAGCCGGACGGCAGCCATGATGAAGGCGATTCTGAAAAAACCATTATCAAATGAAGGTTCACACACATTTCCAGGCCTGAGCTATTTAGTACTACAAAGTCCGTCTTGAAAGAAATCACAGTAAGAAAACTCACATAGCAGAAGGACTATCCATAGCTTCTGCTAGACTACTTAGGGAAGGAAATAAATTAGTAAAGGAGCAAAAAGTGGAAAGCAGAAGCCAACACATACAGACATGCTTTTCTTTAAAAATACAAAGTACTGTGCCAGTGGGCACTTGGCCTCCTTTCTCACCCTTCCAAGGGGGCCCTCCTATTGCACAAGCTTGCGGGCTAAGCACTACATTTCCCAGACTCCCTTGCAACTAGAGTTCTGGATATGATTTAGACTCCTCCAATCAGATGTACTGGAGTGGGATTTGGAAGGCAGAAACGAGACAGAGGCCATTTCCCACTGCTTTGACTTTTTCTACTGGCAAGCAAGGCTGTGAAGGTATGGTACCGTGTCTTTCTGCAGCAGAAATCAAGGGTCCAGTCTCCAGCTTTGGGTGTGTCAAGAAGCAATTGCGTTGAAGGCAGTGGCTGAACCCCGTGTTCCCGTGTTGAAACACTGGCTTTGGGAGTATGGAGAGGGAGCTGCAGTGGCAGTGTGGTGGCTTTGGGAGTAGGTTCTTGAACTCGGTTATTCTGAAGCAGCTTCCTGATTAGGGCAGAGGTTGCCCCTTCCATGATGGATCAGTTTTGTGGAGGTGTTCTAGAACCTTCCCGGAGGCCTTGCCTAGAGTCTGCTCCTCCAGCCCTTCCAATGATTTTTTAAACACCTCATTATCTATATCAAACCCTTTCTGTTTCCTAAACTGACCCTGGACTTCAACATGTAATATATATTTTTTCTAGTCTAAAATTTCATATTGCATCTGTTCATCTGCTGGAGAAGACGACTTGCCACAGAAAACCACTACATCTAAATATTCACTTGAGAAAAAGTCAACAATGGAGAGGGAAGCTGAGTGCCTGGGGGAGAGAGGTGGGAGAAAGCCTTACTTTTTTACAGTTTACCTTTTGTGCACCTTACAAATTTTGTACTGTGTGTATATGTTATGTACCTACAAAGACAGCTGGGCCTCTGATTTGAATAAACATGGCCAATGGTTTAGCAGGAGAACATTGGACTGAGACCCATGTGACCAGGGCAGGTCATTTCCCTGCTGCAATGGACTGAATGTGTCCCCCCCAAAATTCACATGTTGGAACCCTAATCCCAATGGGATAGTATTAGGAAGGTATAGGAGGTGGGGCCTTTGGGAGGGAACTAGGTTATGAGGTTGGAGTCCTCCTGAATGGAACTAGTGCTCTTATGAAAGAGACCCCAGAGAGCTGTCTTGCCCTCCTTCCGCCATGTGAGGACCCAACAAGAGGCTGGCAGTCTGCAACCCGGAAGAGGATTCTCACAGATCCTGACCATCTGGCACCCTGATCTTAGACTTCCATCCTCTGGAATCATGAGAAATAAACCTGTCATTTATAGACCACCCCGTCTATGGTAATTTGTTATAGCAGCCCAAATGGACTAGGGCACCCGTGCTCTATGTTGATGACTACGCTATCTCTGTGGAGGGTAGGCGAGGTGATAATATGGGCGTGAGTGTTCTGTAATTTAAGAAGCACCTTTGAGAAAAGAGAAAGACGAGTTTCTATTTATAAGCATGTATTATGTGTCAGATAACAAGTATTAACTCACATTAGCCCCCAGAAACCTATGAAGTATTACCACTATTTTACTGACAAGAAAACAGAAGTCCTGAGACATAAAGTCGCTCATACAAGGAACCAGAATTGGAACTCTCGGGCTCAAGAAACACTTATCTTAAGGACTATGCTCTATCGAAACAACCACAGAGCACTCAGACCATCAGCCAAAACAAAACTGGGACGGCGCAAAAGAAGCAGGAAGGAGAAAGGATTGGAAAAAAGTGTGTGAGCCTCCCTCTCTTCCCTTTTACAGTCAAAACATGTTAACTCATTGTCCACAGGCCAGCTAGCTGCTTTATTCCACCTCTGAGTGTGTTTTTCAAGCAACTTCAAAATTTTCAATCAAGATCACGTTATAACAGAGTAGTTTGGCTATCCAACAGAGCCTATTCATTATATAATGTGTTTTTACTTTTGACATTGGTGTGATTATTAAAAAAAATAAGAAAGGAAGAAAGAACAAAAGAGAAAATCTGAGTAAACACAATTGAGCTCTTAAACTCAGAAAGCTTTGTGACTGCTGGGATTTTACTTCACCAGAAGTGACACGCTGGAGAGAATGCACAATAGTCAGGATGTTCGTGCTCCTAACAAAGACACCACCAAGTGCGCCTCTGATGATAGAGTGATTGCTCAGCGCCTAGAAGTTCTGGATCAGCACCGTAGGGAGTAAACCGGTCAGGGGTTGCATGCTCTGGTCATGTCATAAAAACATTTTCAGAGGCAGACATTAATGGCCCACTTTGAGTCTAAGCCTGAGCTCCAGAATGACCAGAAGACCTTGTCTGGGAGGGATTACAGGCCTGCATTCTGCATCTTTAGAGAATTCTTCCACCATGTATATAAGGGATACCAGATCACACGTTGTGTGATAGTTATGATCTCTTGAACACATAAGAAAATGTAGTTTGCAAACAAAACACTTGTCACCATCTGTCATACTGTGTGTTTACTTACGTATCTTGTTTATATGTATCTCCCCCATTAGAAAGTGATCTCCATGGGGGCAGGAGGTTCATCTGTTTTCTTTACTGTTGTATCTCTAGGGCCAAAGATAATAACTGGCACATGGTAGATATTAATAAATACTTATTGAATAATTGAATGTGCCATAACTTATGAAACCCAATCCCCTAAAGTTGGACATTTTGGTCATGCCGAACATCTACAGGAATATATTTTGATTCTATTGAATTTATTTCTTAAGATACATTGCTAAAAATGAGTCAAGGTTTGGGCATCTTCATGGCTCTTACTTAGGAGGATTTTCGCCTTTCATTAATTATTGCTGGTCCATAAACCACTGTGGTTAGAGTCCCAGGGCACAGAAATTAAAATTTAATAATAGAATTTTTTATTATGCTGATGTTCAGAAGGTGAACTAAAATAAATGAACAAAAGATGTACATTGCAACAAATCTCCCCAAAGTTAATATTCAACATGCTAACTTCAGGAACAAACATATAAGATTTATTTTGTCAACTTTCTCAGCAACTTTTTGGTATTATAGAATATATTATGGATCGATCAGATTTCTATAAAATACAATAAAATTGCAAAAAACCTGATAAAATCTGCCCATTTATGGTAAAATTTCTTAGCAAACCATGATAGAACTTTCTCAACCTGATAAAGAAAATCTACAGAAATCTACGGCTATCATCATACTTAATGGTGAAAGACTGAATGACTTCTTAAAGTTCGGAACAAGGCAAGGACGTTACTCTCACCACTCTTATTCAACACAGTGCTAGAAGTCCAAGCCTGTGCAATAAGGCAAGAAAAGGAAATAAAAGGCATGCAGATGAGAAAGGAAGAAAACTGCCCCTATTAACAAGTAACATGATTGTCTGTGTAAAATCTCAAGGAATCTACAAATAAAACTCCTAAAACTAATAACTGTATTTAACTATACCACAGGATACAAGGTCAACACATAGAAAATAATTATATTTCTATACTTTAAATAAAAAATTGGGACCAAAATTTAAAGCACAACTATGTACAATCATTGGGGAAAAAAGGGAAATATTAGGTATAAATCTAACAAGACATGTACAGGCTCTATATGCTGAAAACTACAAAATGCTGATGAAAGAAATCGAAGAAGACCTGAGAGACATACTGTGTCCATGGATTGGGAGACTCAACCATAGTAAAGGTGACAGTTCTCCCCAAATTGATCTGGTTTACCTGATCAAACTTCTCAGCAGGTTTTTTTTTTTTTTCTTTTTGTAAATATAGACAAGCTTATGCTAACATTTATTTGGAGATGCAAGGGAACTAAAATAGCTAAATCAATTCGGAAAAAGAACCACCATCCTCTGCTGGAAAGGGGATAGAAACAAACTAGTCCTCAGCTAACACCCACTCTCTACCAGGCATTTTACGGATGTGACTTCCTTCAATCCTCAGGACTCCTGAGAGTGTTCATTATTATCCCGAATTTGTAGAAGATGTTAAATTGCATTTTTAAGGTCACAATGCAATTTAGGTGGTGGTCATAAATTGGTGGTCACACACAGCCAGTAAACAAAAAAAGCCAGGTCTGTCTGACTCCAAAGCCCATGTTCCTTCAATTGCAGGACCACTGATCCATTCACTCAACAAATGTTATTGAACAACCACCTCTGCCTGGCACCCTACCCGCCACTAGGGCAAGAGAATTTAGCAGAAGCTGTGTGGCTCCGCTCTCGTGTTAGTTACGTGGCAGAGGAGATGAGGTCAGATGTTAATCACACGAGTCCACATCAAGTTGAAGCTCAGAGACTCCTGCAACAGCATCCTCTGACAAGTTACCTTCCAGGTAACTGAGCGACTGTGTCCCCCTCTCCTCCATCAGAATTCTAAAGGAGAGGCTCTAAGAACAGATAAGTCACATTTGCTTCAGAAAACCCCAACTTTCTCCCAGATCTGAAGCCTGTGAGACACGCTTTTTTTTCCCAATGGAGATGGGCTTCCCGAGGTTTAGAAAACATTTTTAAAAGCTGGCATCTATTTTTGCGGTAGGAAAGAGTTAAAAATAATATTTGTTAAATCAAAGGTTGGGTCCTGCCAGTACAATATCAAGGGGAACCTAGTAAGTTTAATCAGCTTGTGAACTTCAATTCAATGATAACTAGCAAGTTCACTTTTAATTAATCTGTCCAAAGAAGAGGCAGAGGCAGGATACTAGAGTCAGGGTCCCAAGACTCCGTAATCTGTCTCGTAATTTTGGGAAAATTCGAGAAATAGTCAGGGAGTGGCATTTAAACTGGTGTATAAACGGCAACAATT